AGCTTCGTAAACTTGATACGTCTGCCAAAGTGCTTTAAAAAGTTCAGTTTTAAACCCTGAAGGAGCCTCATTACTGCTGAGACAGAAGGATGCTCTCAGACCAGCGATCAATACTCCAATCGATCAGTGTCTCCTGAGGTGAACCCGACCACTAAGCCTCCATCCTTCCTCTCTCTTGAGCCGTGATCGGCTCCTCTCCTTCTCTCATTTCTATGTCTTATTTTTATTTTATCAGATTAGACACCAATCCTTGTCTGCGTGTGTGTGTGTGTGTGTGTGTGTGTGCGTGTGTGTGTGTGTGTGTGTGCGTTACATAATCAGCTCTCTTCTCATCTTAGAAGTGACACTAAAATAGTTGCTGCCGCTTCACACTCCGTCTCATCTGTGTTTTTAAAAGCACCAATTAGAGTCATTTAATCAGTGTGCTGGTGGACTGCTGGGGGGCCGGGGGGGGGGGGTTATAAAATCATCCCTGGATTCTGAATCTGAATTCTCTTCTCATTTTTAATTCCATAGTTTCCTTTCACTTTATTGTCATTGTAAATGTTTTCTATGGCTGAACCATTGACTTACCTTTAATGTCTGACCATATATACGCTATATACATGTAATATACATATATATGTATAGTCAGAGAGAGAGAGATATTGCTGTAGATACAGATACTTTAAAAGTCCATTAGTAGTAATTTGGGCGGCATAGAATCTCTGTATTAAGGGACATAAGAAATATTTTGTCTTCACAGAAATGTGTCCCTTTCAGAGCAAAAGGTCCAGGACCAAAGAGCTGTGAGTCACATCAACTGCTCTCTGTGCGTGACTCCTCCAGACAGAATGATTAAATGTCTCTAATTGGGGCTTTTAAGCATGACAGCGTGTGTGTGTGTGTGTGTGTGTTGTAATTAGCTCCTCTCTCAGTTTGAACATGTTAACACAACGTCCAGTGTGCTGACGACTGGTGGCTTTTCTCTGGGATGAAGAAGAGAAGTGCAGCCATGGTTACGATCAATCAACCCAATCAACATTGTGGCAAACCGAAGGACAAACTCCAAAGTCTCAGCAGAGATGCTAAGACCCCCCCCCCCCCCACGAGCCTTTCCTTTATCGTTTGTATCATGAACCCGTTTGTATAAAGTTGGTTGTCGTGACGACAGAGGTTCACTTGGAGACGAACAGACAGAAGGAGGAAACATCTTCACTGCGAGCTACTTCCTTAAAGACTCCGAGTAACACGTGTGCTTCCGTGTGGCCCTGAAGCCACTCCCCCCATCGGGAGGCCCCCGGGGGGTCTGCAGGAAGCAATCGGAGGGACGTTGACCCTCAACCGGAAGAGGGAGGAGACAACCCCTTAAACTCCTCGGTGGCCCTTGGTTGGTTTGGACGGTCAGACAAAGTGTCCCAAAGAGACTTGTGTCCCAAAGCCCATTGCATGATGGGAAAATGATCAGAATGTTAAGTATCATCTGGATGAGCATTCATCTCTGCCACTTCCTCTCTGCTTCATTAGTAAAAGAGTAGCAGCTAACAAAGCTACGCTAATTCTGTGATTGACACATTTCATTGCCTGTAAACTCCTTCACAATAAAAGCCCATCGGTTATTCTGTTATTTGAGGAGAATGTAGAAAGAAAATACATATATATGTATATATATATATATATATATATACACATATATATCTACTGATATTTCTTCTCTAAATTCCTTCAAACAACTGTGGATGAAGCGACTGGATGAGCAGCAGGCAGACGGCCGACGGGCCTGCAGCTCCTGAGGTGTGTGTGTGTCCGTGTGTCTCTTTGTGTGTGAGTTTAGTCCATCTGTTGTTGTGCGTCGGCCCGAGGCGACGGCATGAGAGAAGAACTGCAGACAAATAGGAGAAAGAAGGAAGAGAGACGGGAGGAAGAGATGAAAAGGTGCTCAAAGCAGAGGAACGAGGTGTGTGTGTCTGTGTGTGCGTGCATGTGTGTGTGTGTGTTGGACCCCAGGCGGTGCAGCCTCTGTGGATCCCAGATGGAGCCAGAACTCAACAGAACGCATTAGTCCACTTGGCGTGTTCACACACACACACTCACACGCACCCTCACACGCACACGCACACTCACTCACACACACACACACACACACACTTTGTTGCAGCTGTAGTTTTATGGAGGTTCGACTCTGCTTCAGCCGCCAGAAACACTGGCGGAGGAAAGAGAAAGAAATAAAAGAAAAAGAAAAGAGACGCTTGACCTGGGACGAGCTTCAGTGTCTGAGGGGAAAGGAGGTGAAGGAGATGAAGCAGGTGAAGGAGGTGAAGCAGGTGAAAGAGGTGAAGCAGGTGAAGGAGGTGAAGGCAATGAGGGAGGTGAAAGAGGTGAAGAAGGTGAAGGAGATGAGGGAGGTGAAGGAGATGAAGGAAGGAGGTGGAGGAGATGAAGGAGATGAAGTATGTGAAAGAGGTGAAGGAGATGAAGGAGGTGGAGGAGATGAGGGACGTGAAGGAGATGAAGGAGGTGAAAGAGGTGAAGGTGATGAAGGAAGGAGGTGGAGGAGATGAAGGAAATGAGGGAGGTGAAGGAGATGAGGGAGGTGAAGGTGATGAAAGAGGTGAGGGAGGTGAAGGAGATGAGGGCGGTGAAGGAGATGAGGGAGGTCAAGGTGATGAAAGAGGTGGAGGAGGTGAAGGAGGTGGAGGAGGTGAAGGAGATGAAGGAGATGAAGGTGAAGAAGGAGGTGAAGGAGATGAATGAGATGAAGGTGAAGAAGGAGGTGAAGGCAACGAAGGAGATGAAGGTGAAGAAGGAGGTGAAGGTGATGAAGGAGATGAGGAAGGTGAAGGAGATGAAGGAGATGAGGGAGGTGAAGGTGATGAAAGAGGTGGAGGAGGTGAAGGAGTTGGAGGAGGTGAAGGAGATGAAGGAGATGAAGGTGAAGAAGGAGGTGAAGGAGATGAAGGAGATGAAGGTGAAGAAGGAGGTGAAGGAGATGAAGGTGATGAAGGTGATGAAGGAGGTGATGAAGGTGATGAAGGTGATGAAGGAGGTGAAGGAGGTGAAGGCGATGACCTTTATTGTCTTAGTTCCTCCTGGTTTAAGATGGAGTGAAGCTGAGTGTTGGATGAGGTCTTAATGCTCGAGCTACTTGATGCTGGAGGCCGAGACGTTTGGACTGAAGACGGTGACAGACGGACGGGCGTCTTCGTCTCCAACGGGACAGGAAACGCAATTACACTTTATTGTTGTGATCATCCGTCTACGGGCGGCGCTCGCTCTGTCGCTTTAAATCTGCTTCTCAGCTCATGATTTCTCCTCCGCCTCTCGGGAGCTCGATGCCCTGCCCGACAACAGATGGAGCCCTGAAGCTCTGGGACCACACACACACACACACACACACACACACACAGACACACACACACACACACACACAGACAGACACACACACGGGCAGGGAGATGGCTGGCAGCAGTGGGTTGAGAGGAAAGCTAATGGTAAAGATGTCAACATCAGTATGAATGCACACACTCACACACACACACACACACACACTCACACGCAAACACACACACACAATCAAACACACGCGGTTGTGTGGATACATGTGGATTTACGATGGAAGAATGAATTGCGTCACCGCTCACACGCAGAGGGACGAGAGATGAGGACTAGATTCAAACAGGAAGTGAAATGAGGGAAGCGTCTCTGGACTCGTGGACTCACGGAGCCAATCGGAGGTGAAGAAGCGTCGAGCCGCGGGGCGGCGTGGGGACTCAGGGAGGAGGCGCTTTGTGTTTTTATTTTGAAGCCGTTGGAAGCCAAACAGTGTCGCTGTGTTCTGGACCTCTTGGCTGTTTCTGAAGCAGGGGGGGGGGGGGGGACGGGGGTCTTTAACAGGCCGGACGCCGAGGCCCCCGAGCTCCTTCCTGCCTGCTGGGTTGTACTGAATCCCGTTGGTGTGGAGCCTCATCCGTCTTCGCGGTTACTTCTTACCGGATACTCGGCTGGCTCCGCCCTCGCCGTGGACGGGCATGACCCCATCGGGTGGAGGGGTCGCACCGATCGGGCGGTGAAGCTACTGTGAGGATGGAAAGTTCTGTATAAATCGCTGCTACTTCGTCGTCGTCGGCGTCGTCATCGCAGGGGTTGGTTGCTTAGCAACGGCAGGCCCAAGCTCATAATATAGCACACGCATATATATAATAATCCTGAACACAAACAGGAGGCTTTGACTGGAAGTGGATCTCTAACGTGACGACTGAATGTGGACAGGAAGGAAGTGTTGGAGGTGAGCGATCCGGCGATCATCTGCCCGTTAGAGAAAAGGAAGCGCAGCACAAATTGATTCTGGCAGGACGGACGAGTAGGACACAAAGCGTTACGAGGACAAGAAGACGGAGGAGGACAGGGAGGTGAAGCGCGATGGACGCAGGAAACACTAAAAGCTAATCAGCGCACCTCTGACTCAACGCTTCGACTCCTTTCAGCGCTTCTTCAACCGCCGGGTCCAAACCGATGCTTTAGAGGCCGAGAGCCACAAAGACCCTATCAGACTTTTCATGGTTCAACTCCTGTTAGTTTGCAACTGCTCCTTCCCTTCTCATCGTCTCTGTACTGTGGTATTAATATCAGTAATAGAAAATATAAGTCTCAGAAAACCTCCCCAGGTCCATGTAGGTCCCATGAGTATTATCACCTCCACTAACACTTCAACTCCTTTCAGGGCCTCCAGTGACTCTCAGGTCCATTTTACAGTTATTTCCACTTCAGCGCCTCAGTTTCGAGTCCCACTTTGACTCCTTTCAGCACTTTCAGAGCGCCAAGATCGGCCGTTCCGGCCCGCCGACCCGTTTGAAAGCTTCATAGTGGCGCGCTGGAGGAAGTGAGGGTGCGTGATGGGTAATCAGGGGGACTAATAATGAATAAGCTTGAACCCTCAAAAAGCACCGGTGTCATGAGCCTGAACACAAATAACCACCTGAGAGCGTACAGCCCCCCGCCCCCGCTAATTAGCGTTAGCCTACCTAGCTTGGGCAGTGAGTACTGGACCTTGAAGTAGTCCTGGTAGAAGCCCAGCAGCCTCTTGGTGATGTGGAGGGCGTAGTCGCCCGCTCCGCTGGCGATGGCGTCCGGCCGGGCGTAGAGACGGATCTGGGGGACAGAAACGAGGCGTTGGAGACGGACGAGGTCGTGCGAGTACAATATGTTTGATGTCATTGAATCACATGGGAATAACCGTGAGCCAAACGGTGAGCGGGTACGGAAGAGGGAAAGGAAATAACAAATACATAAATCATCAGTAAGCCAATAAACTGCACGATGCCATCGGTGTTCATTTCTCAGGTTTACAGAACATTACTTTGTCAAATATTTTAATTGGATTAATTATTCATTTGTAGTTGGTTTTGTTTGTCGTTTTGCTAATCCTTTGATTCAGAAATGGTGTTCAGCCAAAAACGATTGTTCCATTGTGTTTATTTATCATTCTGTTTAATCCCCTCATAAATAATACTTTCACTGCGGCTCCGTTCATCCAAACTACGGCGTTTTTACTTTTACTTAACATTTATTTTGTTGAATCATCACAAACGAGTGACTCATGTGGTTTTCATAGTTTTTTTTAATCATGTTTTTTTAATTGAAAACGGACATTAGAATTCTTAGTTTCAGTGAATGAACCCTTAAGGTGTCTGTCTGTATATGTGTATATATATATATATGATATGATAAGAAAATACACAATATGAAAAGCACCATGAACCCGTCGTAGAAGCTCTTTATTCAGAGAACCGACCGAGCGTTTCACTTTGGTGAAGCTCAATGAAGAAGAAGTGAAACGTTCTGCTTCAGTGACTCCAAACTGCTTCAGAGTTTCTCTCAGACGCACATCTGCTCCGTCTTCAGAACAACCAGCTGCTGCTCGGCAAGAAGCTATTTGGTAAGAAATAAAGAAGTGCTGCTGCTAAATACATGTAGGTAAAGATATCTGTGTGTGTGTGTGTGTGTGTGTGTGTGTGTGGGCGACGGCTCGGGTCCACGTCCCGTCGGCTTCTGCGTGGACCTTCACCTTGGGGGTCCAAGGTCCAGCAGGTTCTCGTATCGTCAGATGTCCGAAAAGCTCTCAACTGCAGCGTCGATCTCGCCGCCGTTAGCATTTAGCTCGTAGCTCTGAGCACTTCCTGAACGCGCGGCGGCGGCGGGTTGGTCCCGGCGATCAATCAACGGGAATTCTCCAAAGCAGATGTCTGCTCAGCACGCTTCCTGCACGGGCGATCGCTGTTATCGAGTCAGAAAATGTTCCACAGTGCAGCAGGAAACATCACAACCCTCCTCCTCCACCCGCGGCTCCACTGATTTTCAATAAATTAACATTTTAAAGCTCATCTCTGTTCCCCACATTCTCCTCCTTCCACCAGAACTCGACTCGGAGGAGAATATCTGCTCGCAGAGTCGAGCCTTTATTCAAATGCTTCCCGGACGTAGAATCGTCTCCTGAGGATTCCTGAAGCACCTCCAGCCATGTTCTCCCAGGTGAGGAGAAACCTTTCTTGGGGGGGGGGGGGGTCTCTCTTCAAAGCATCGTCACATATACATTCAATTTGTCTCCCGTGGAGGAAACGCGCTGATTAAACCGAGACGGCTCAGTGGGTCGGAGTCTGGAGAGACGGGCCCCCCGGGTTCAAACCCCCCCGCCGAGGGTCCCGAGCTCCTTCTATTCGCTAAAATATCAACATTCGTCATTTCATTTTGAGCCACAGCAAACATTTCAAAGTCCTCTTTCTGTGAATGCATTTCTGTTTCAAATGTAAACACCAATAAATAGACAAGACAAGAAATCACTGCCCAACACAAAAGGACAAATGATCATCAAGTTAGGAGGGTTAATCCTCTGGGGAACACGACAGACTTCTCGTCAATCCCTACAGCTGGCGTGGTAATTAAATACCATTAAATACCAAGTTAATCAGCAAAGTGTCTTTGTAACAGAAAATAATGTCGGCTCACAGTTCAGTGGATCCTGATTTATTTATTAAAATTAAAGACTTCCTTCAACACGATTCACTGTGAACTCTTTGAGGAGGTGAATGTGTAATTCCCCTCTACGACGCAGCAGCAGAGCATCACAGCGCGCTGGAATCAAACGCACACAACTTTACAACAGAAAGGCCCGTCTACTATTAATTAGCAGTGAAGGGAAATAAATCCCGAGAGCCCAACTGGACATTCAATGAGCCCAGAGACTGTCCACACCACGTCACTGCTGTCACACAGCAACAAACCCTCCGCAGGGTGTCTCCTGCATTAACCACACACACTCTGTGCTCATGTCCTACCATCACTAAACTATTGATTAAACAGGACGTTTAAACTAATAAACATTCGGGGGATGAAACAAGATCGTGTGTGTCATTAAATTGCATTAAGTTAAAGCTTCACGTGTTAAAGCTGCATTCTGTGCAGTGACCAGCAGGGGGCGACTCCTCTGCTCCCATAGACGTCTATGAGGAAATGACTCTACTTCTCTGCAGTGACCAGCAGGGGGCGACTCCTCTGCTCCCATAGACGTCTATGAGGAAATGACTCTACTTCTCTGTAGTGACCAGCAGGGGGCGACTCCTCTGCTCCCATAGACGTCTATGAGGAAATGACTCTACTTCTCTGTAGTGACCAGCAGGGGGCGACTCCTCTGCTCCCATAGACGTCTATGAGGAAATGACTCTACTTCTCTGTAGTGACCAGCAGGGGGCGACTCCTCTGCTCCCATAGACGTCTATGAGGAAATGACTCTACTTCTCTGTAGTGACCAGCAGGGGGCGACTCCTCTGCTCCCATAGACGTCTATGAGGAAATGACTCTACTTCTCTGTAGTGACCAGCAGGGGGCGACTCCTCTGCTCCCATAGACGTCTATGAGGAAATGACTCTACTTCTCTGTAGTGACCAGCAGGGGGCGACTCCTCTGCTCCCATAGACGTCTATGAGGAAATTACTCTACTTCTCTGTAGTGACCAGCAGGGGGCGACTCCTCTGCTCCCATAGACGTCTATGAGGAAATGACTCTACTTCTCTGTAGTGACCAGCAGGGGGCGACTCCTCTGCTCCCATAGACGTCGATGAGGAAATGACTCTACTTCTCTGTAGTGACCAGCAGGGGGCGACTCCTCTGCTCCCATAGACGTCTATGAGGAAATGACTTCTCTCTTGATTTATTCCTTCAGAAAACATTGTAAACATGAGTTCATGGTCTCCAGTCTAATCTCTAGTTTCAAGTCTTCTTCAGTACAGCGTGATGTTCATTTTGTAGATTATGGTCCATTCTAGAGTCAAATGGACGATAAAGCTGTAAGTGTATGATGGAGGCTTCCTGATGGTATACCTCTCAGTGAGGAGAGAGTGCAGTACCCAGTGTCCAAGGACAGGACGAGATAAGACCACTTCAATATAAAGTGTAATTCATCCACTCGCTCCCTTACTCTCCAGGCGCTATAAAACACTCATTTATCTGACTTTACGTCCAGTCCAATAGAAATGGATGCCTCGCCCTCTATGGTAAACCAAGTCTACCTACGGGTACAAATAAAAGCAACCTAACATATGATAAAAGACCGTGTGCTTTATTTAACAGAAATGAACCCCACAATGTTTCACTTAAATACATATTTAGTGAAAAGACAGCATGTGAGTGGAGAGTGACGTGCGTCGCTCTTTCCTAACATACCAGACCGGGATGATTCCACGCTGCGAGTCTCTAGACGTCCCGCAGCAGCAGACATTCTCCACAGCCTGGTCCCTTCAAAATAAAAGTCTGAGCAAAGACGCCACTCGTGTGAATGACAGCAGCAAGAAGCAGAATCGACTTGGTCATTTCGGTCAGATGTCGGTGAAAAAACTAAATGTTACAGATTGCTATTCTCTTCTTCCTCCTTTTCTCCATCAGTGCAAAAATCTTCTCATTTCATCTGCCCCCTTCCCCTCGCAACCTCGTTATCTCTCCGCTCAGCCATGGAGACGCTCGCTGCCGCGCGTCGCTCTGTCCGTCGCCCTTGCATGATGGATGGGAGTGATGGACGCTCGGTTGCCGCGGTAATTTGATGGATGGTTTAACAACCGATAAGAGCGCCTCGGGGTTGAGTGGGGGCGCGAGGCTACGCGGTAACGCACGTCAAACTTTGAGGTCGATTCCCTCTGACACAATCGTCCAATCGGGTCGTCCCGCTCGGAGATGGGCCGGCCGAGAGGGTCGCAGTCCTCTCCGTCAAGGTCAACGAGAATGACAGAGAGGCACCTCGTCGTTTTTACCAGTTTTTATGTTTAAAGCGATTTCTTCAGCAGTTTATGTAAAAGATGTTTGATATCTTCGGTCCAACAGTCCATTTATCATCGTATCCCTGAGCGAACGTGCTGAGTAAGAATCGGTTTTCTCAGCGAGTTCACATTGTTCAAATTTAGGATTTTGTGAAAACAAATAATCAAGTAAGCAGGAATATCAAAATGTGTTCACGACCACAGAAGCTCTGTCCAGGTAAACGCACAATCTGTGTTACAATCCACAGGAGGGGAGCTAGTGACGTTAGCAGCACCGCTAACGGCAAACCAACAGATGCACCGCGTTCCACTGTGATGCGTTCAGGCTGTGCTCACACGGGTAAATTATACTTATGTTATTATGATGTGTTCACATGTAATACTGTAATTTTCAGGGTTTGGTGAGAAATTTAAATGAATACAGTTGTTTCATGTTAAAAAAAGATGTGTTATGAGAGGGAATCATGTGGGAGAGGAAAACAATGTTTTCTCCTTGAATTCAAGGAAACATCCGCTGAAAAGCTGATTAATATTTTAGGGTAAAGTATTCCTTTAAATGTTAAAATAGAGGCTGACTCATAAAAAAAATTCATGGTAAAGTTTTAAAATCCAACAGTATATCATCACTTTGGGAGATTAATGTGACCTTTTCTTTCATTATGTGTTGGTAATGTGACATTTAATGTAGTTATGGAAGGGAAAGATACTTTTATACCTCCTCAAAGTGGAAGGAAAGCAAATAATGTCATGACGTGACATTCAAAAAATGTGAAACGAGCGTCGTCAGCCACTTTAAAAAATAATCTTATTTTATGATAACAGTTTTCAATAAAACACCTTTCAAAC